CTACCCCATATACCGCTGGGTAGCTTAATCCATAATAATACATTATCTTTTATTAGTTAATTTATATAGAGTATTAATAATCTAAAACTGTAAAGTAACTAGCAACTCAAAAAAAGTGAATTCAGAGTTAAGTTCGCATTTGTTGACTTTTGTAGTGACTAGAAAATTAAGTTTCAAATTAAATTAAGTTTTTTATTTAAAAATAAGATTCAAATCAACTGATGTCTCTTTGCTTGGTTTTATGTGCACATTTCTAAATTAAATAACACCAGTACTCATTAAAATCTTTCATTCACAAACTGTGACTCAAAGATCTGAATCAGAATATGTTTTGCCAGAAAATTACCAGTTTAATTGACGTAGGTTTTATGCACCGGAGAACCGCGTTGACACAAACAATGCTTCAGACGTTTTTTTCTGTCTGTCTGCACTCTGTCGTTCCCCCATCTGGCTCGTTTGACCTTCCCACTTATAATAAAAGACTTCAAGTGTCCCGCCGCATAAAAGATTGGATTTGGCTGATGAGCCACATGCCACTCATAAACTTTAAAATAACTTGCCTGCTGACATTATAAAGATAACACACGGAAGGTCAGAAGTATATGAGAAACTAAATAAAAACCATATGAAAGCAAATATTTCTAAAATGTCAGGCTGAGAAGTGTGTGTACAAGGAAAATATTCAGGCTTGTCTGAGAATGTCAATGTCATAATCAAGTAGAACAAAATAAAAACAAAGACCTCAAACAGAAACTGTTTAAGCTGAAAATGTGATACGTGTGATAAACTATATATCTTAATCTCTAAATTTATGTCTCATCTATAAGATAAAAATCCAGAGGAGCACTTTCTAGAGCTGCTCCATTAATGATGAATAAGAGACCTTATTTTAGACACATAAAAACTTATGTGGTTTGCATTCACAAGTCTTCAAAGTGTCTGCTGATTTTATCCCGAAGTAAGGCTCAAGATTCAAACTCTGAGGGAGCGTTGTTTGATGTTAACAATATTGATCATCTTGCTCACAATCACAAAACGTACATGAGGGAATTTAGTTTTGGGAAAACCAAACTGAAGGTATGAAAGATGTTTTTGATGCGCAGAAGTTCACTAATAACAGAACATATCATTGCTTTTAAGTTAAAACTTTGTGTCTCAAAAGCAACCTACAGGAAATTAGCCTTCTTTTGAGTTTTACTGCTTTTGAGCTGTAGCGAATGTTTTATAAATGAAGTCGATATTCTCGATGCAAAAAGCCATAAAATAAAAACATTAGAAATAATCAGAGTTGTATTCTTATTACAGACAGTAATAATGAGTTAATAAGTTTTGTTTTTTTAAATAAGATAAAGTTTTATAGTAATAACCTCGAGGCAAATTAAAAGCTAGGAAATCTACCTTACTGAAAGAGATCAAATCCAACTACAATTAACTAAACAAAAATAAGAGTAAAACATATTTGTTGTTATTTTTGTTTGTGTGTGTGTGTAATGTGTCTTTCCCAGTCCCTGTACCTGAAGGCAACGCACAGAAAAAGAAATAGAAGGTCACATCTGGACTAGCAGGATGTACTCATGCTCAAACAAAACTAGAACATGTAGAGATACTGTGTTTGAGCAAACAGAGAAGTCAACTGTAAACCAACATTACACTTTTACTAATTTTTAAAGGATAAGGATGGAGTTTTTCTATATTTTTTGCTATTGTCAACAAGTCCTATGAAAAGACCAACTGAAGAGATTAGAGAGAGAATATTTTAAAAACACTCACATATACATTTTTTTTATTTAAATTTTTAAAAAATAGAATTTTTAAAAAAGGCTAAATATTTTTCTTAAACAGCTGGGCACTGCAGTTTTCAGCAGATGTTACTCAAAAGGGAGGAAATTGCTTATTTTATGGACTATTTTCAGCTGATTAATATACATGTGGTGCTTTAGTTGGTATTTACAGTAACAGTATTAACAGTGTGCGAGGAATTGAGTCAAAATAAGCATGTAAGACTGTCCAATGCCCAAAAAAGACTTAAAAAAAAAAAAGCCCTCCAGGGGTTGTAGTGATTGAGACGGGAGCAAAGGGGGAAGTTAGGGGATGTTTTTAAAAAAGCGATAAAGTCAACAGAGGGAGGAAGTGGGGGGCGGATATATGGGTTAACAAAACACCAGACAGGAGATCGCTGTTCATTTCCTGTTTCCTACTGACAGTCAACAAAGGCTCCCTAATCTTAACAAAGAACTTTAACTTTAACCCAAAGCATAATGTTTTTCTAAACCTAGTCATTTATAATTTATATAGTTTATGTTAACGGTTACGTTTTTTATTAGGCCGCGACCTCTAGTGGCAGACAGGTGACTTAGTATAAAGAGCGACAAAGTCCATGTAGTAGTTGACATATTTTAAGTTAAATTCACATGACTTACATAATGTAGACTACTTATTTTAACCCCAAAACATGATCTTTTCCTAAACCCAACCAATGTTTACCACATGTTAAACATCATGTGACTTACGTAAGGTCCTGTACGCCTGTTGCCGGACTGGTACTTGCCAAGGCTCTTACATGTTTTTTTGAGGAACAATCGTTCAGGTCATTGTACCTTCCAACAGACATCTATGACATTTTGGAAAACGGTCTTATATCTCGTTTTGGGACTCTTGATAATCAACCCATTTTGTTGTTTAGGTATGAGAACGTGTTGTTTTTTGAAAACAACAGAGCTCTATGACACAGAGGAGTAAGATATATCAGATTTTGAATACAATACTTGTTAGTAGGATCAATTTGTTGCTTTTGGTGTTTTCATAGGATTTGTTGACGATAAGAAAAATATATGTATACTTTAACGACAAGTCGGAGCTGTTCTAACAAACATAAATGCTAAAAACAAAATAAATGCTGCACACCACACACAAACACACACACACACACACTCTCCCTGCCCATATGATCTGGCGTGGGTTTGTCCCTCAAGGCCACTTCACAGAGCATGAAGGTGTTAATTCGGTGTGTCACTTCTATGACTAAGAAAATGGTGTTCCTCCTCAGCTGTAACCTTTAGACAAAAAAAATTTCAGCGTGAAAGTGCCCCCTGAGCTCCAGACTGCGTGTCACTGTGGAAACACGCTGCTGGGCACTACAAGTGAAAAGGGCAGGCAGGGGTGATCACCACCACCTCCACCAACCCCAACGCCTCAAACCTAACACTGCCGGCCCCTCCAGCAGGCTCTGGCGCGGCTTCTGTGAATCCAGACAGTGTTAAGTGGAATCAGTGGCCCGGCTACTGTACCATGGCACACACTGACGCCTTTGACAGACAGTTAATAAGGATTCATACTCAATGCAGCCCACAGAGCAAGATGATTATGTCTGTAGGTAATTGGCCCGCTGACAGCTACATGATCCCAGCCCCTGTTGTGACCTGCTTAAATAATGAAATAACAATAAAATGGCAAACACCCAGGGAGGCATAAGGCACTCACTTTTTTACCTTTGCACACACTCAAAGATTAAGTGCTGTGGAGGCAAAAAATAAACTAATATCAGAGTGAGGAGCTGATGTAGTAGTGTAGTCTCAGGGTTCTCCCTTAGTGCTTTGTTTGCTTGCTCTTTGTCTGTAGCTGAAAGAGTCAGCTCAGAGCCATGTTGCACGATGAGTCACCTTACCGGAGAGCCCAAAACATCAACCTTTTATTACAGGAAGATGTTTGAGTGGGCAAGACAGCAACCTGGGGTCGATCCCTGTCTGTAACATCAAATGACTTTGTATCCAAAACAAACCTTAACTGATTTATACTCTATCCGGTGGCTCTCCAGTATTACTATGTCTCACAATAGAAACTCCACGGCAGATGAGATAAATTAGCACATGGGCTGTAATAACACTATACGCCTATCTTAGGGAAGTGACTAAATGGTAATATCCATCTGTGCTCCTACAGGATTTACAGTGTTTCTAATTATCTCAAGCTTCAGGACTACCTGCTGAGCCAGCGGCACACGTTTCTGCACATCTGGTGATATCAACATTTGGCCACAGACCAAAGAGATGCACCACTTATTGTTTTGTTTGGGCTCCGGAAGAACCAAGCACCCGAGAGAGAACAAAAGAATAGAAATAGAACAACATTAACAAAAAAATATAAGGGTGACAAATTCATTTAACTTGTCATTTATCATCACAGTCGACACCATTGTCTGGCCAGGAACACTGATCATCACAAGATCAATAGATGATCATCCTGTTCTGTGACACATCAGACGGGGGACAAATTGATTTACATTTACAAAATGATTGTGACTCATGCATATTCAGTCCCTCTCACTCTATTTGTCATCCTGCAGACCTAATTGGCTAACTTTCTTTGTTGCTATGCTGGCCGTATTTCAGATGTGTGGGAACTGCTGTCTCTCCACCACTGATTAGCTTAGCTATGAAAACAGTGTTATTTAAATAACCAGATTACTAAGCAGTCATCTTTTCAGAACAAAAAGGGACTAATATTTGCCTCTAAATTGTGGGTGTAGGGATAAAGGGTCCTACACTGAGCTCACTGTAAAGCCCTATGAGGCAGATTTGTGATATTGGTCTACATAAATAAAACTGATTTGACTATAAATAATTACAATCTAGGTTTCATCCTTGTTTCAAAGGAGGCAGTTGAGGGGTAGGTGGGTGGGAGAAAGAAAGAAAGAAAGAAAGAAAGAAAGAGAGTGAGAGATGTAGGACAGGATGGTTGTAGTAGCTCCAATGAATCAGAGGCTCTTTGTGATTTGCTGTATAACAAAAAAAAAAATCAAAATGGCAGATTACAACACGTGAACCCAGTGTGATTGCCTCAAAATAAAAATAACATAAAAATTCAGCTGACCTGGAACAATTCATGCATGCAGAAAAGGCTCTGCATGTGCAGCACATTTAAAAGCACACAAATGTGAAACAAACAGGCTGTCTGTCTGTCTGCCATCCACACAGGACGTGGCATCACTGCTGCATGTCTACCTGCTCTGGGCCTTGGAAACAGATCCGGCACTGGGGGGTCCGCAGGCTGCTGGCGGTGCTGGCCAGAGACACGGCGTCCAGGCCCACTTGCAGCTTGGGCTCCTTGTCCTCAAACGCCAGGCTCCGGGGCCGCGGGTCGCTGCCGTAGTACTCCTCCTCGTCATCCCGGGAATGGCAGTCGACGAAAGGCGGCCAACCGCAGCCGCCCATCCCCAGACCTCGCATGGTGGTGGACCGTCTATCTGTGTCTGAGCCGGACTGTCTCGAATCGGATCGCATAAACACCAGGACTTTCAGTTCGTTAAAAAACATGCGGATCCGATACTTGAACATGTTTGGCTACATACAGAACCCGCCAGACTGGAATAAATAAATTAAGTGTTTTTGTCCTTTCTCCTCTCCCTCTATTATTATTAATATTATTATTGTTATTATTATTCATACACCTGATATGTTCATCTTTATTGTAGCATTTTCAGTAACACCTATTAATTGGAGATCCAGAGAAATAAAGGCTCTCGCCCCACTGATGGCATGTGTGTCTAAGCCAATGCGGATGAAAGATTTTCCCTTTCAGCCGGCCGACACACTCTTTCAATATTCATTACTCAAAACAACTCAACAAACGCTGTCTATATGCATCTTCCATCGCACCCCAGAAAACATTACAACTTGTACGGGTTTTTTTTTTTTTATTCCAGTCCATTTTTCTTCACCGTTCCTCTCAAAGACACCTTTTTTTTTTTTAGATGCACTGGGCTTGCAGCAAAAAATAGCCTACATGTTTTTGCTACCCAAAGCAGAAGACTGCGAGAGAGTGGACGAGTGGAAGAGAGAGCAACACAGAGCCAGGAAATAGAAGATGGGATGTAAAATACAACGACATGCCACCCATACAGTCACATCTGGGACTCTTGTCAAGAATCATAATCCAAAAAGAAAAAAGGATGCGGAAGATGAAATGGAAGTTTGATTCGGATGTGATTATAATATGTCTGTTGTTTTTTTCATTGTCCCTCACTGTAGCATCCCAAGCGTCAGATCATGGTCCATTTTCCCCGTCTTCTCTCTCTCTCTCTCTATTTCATCTCCTTTTTGTAAAGCCTCTGGTTGATCCACGAAGAATCCGTGCCATTCAGCCCGACAATCCACGTCGAGATCAAAAACACAATCCTTTTCATTTGCATTTTTTACTGAGGACGCCTAGCTGGAAACATAGCACAAAAACACCCGAAAGCCCCATGTTTTCCCATCTTCGCTCGATGTCCATCAGCATTTCATTTGCAAGCCAAAAATACGGCGCGTTGAAATGTCAAAGAGAGGCAGAATGATACAAAAGGCACCCTCTGATTTATCTAATTAAAGAGGGGCGGAAAGGGGGGGAAGACGCATGGAGATGTCTTCGCATCCGAGAGCAATTTCACAGCAGTAATGGCATTGATTATTGGATCATAGATGGTGGTGATGATACTGCTGGCGCTGATTTTCCTCCTCGAAATGGTCGGCTTGGAGATTGAACCAACGCAGCAGCTACTTCCGGAAGGGGAGAAGAAGAAAAAAATACCTGACAGTCATCCTGTAAACAAGTCGCTATATTTCTTTACTCATCCATCCGTCTCCGATGGGTGATGTGCCTCTCCCCGTGCTCCCAGCAGCTGGGCAGGGAAGGAGCTCTGGCTGCTTTATTATTGACCAGCCGCCGCTGTCCAGGTGCTGATCTCCCTGCTGCTGACGTGCGCGCTGCGGCCACATGAACTGGGAGCCCGCGAAGTACGAACTGGACCTCTCTGTTAATGTGTGTGTGTGTGTGTGTGTGAGAGAGAGAGAGAGAGAGAGACAGGTAGCCTATCAGTTCGTGGCTCCAAGCAGTGGTGGTACAACAATGTAAAAACACAAAACATCCAGTTGCCAGTCACGCATTGGTTTGTGGACTTGTTTTGAAGCCTTGAGATTTGCATTTTGGAACCAGAAGTGACCGGGTAGAGCTAAGTTATCATGGTGCATCCATAATTCACCTTAACTGTGATATTAAAAAAATTTACTTCCCCCCCAGAATTAACAGCTGACTCCTTAAGGTGTCTTTTAACCAAACGATCAAGACATTTTTAGGCGACTAAATTTTTACACTTAACTTTCATGAACTGAAAACAGGCTGTGAAAGAGTCAAAGTTCTTAGAAGAAAAATACTCAAAAACAAGTTTACAGCTCATTAAATGTACAGAGTTCACAGCCTAAGATTCACCTCCATCCTACTTGACAGGTCGCTGTTGTTGTCAATCACAAGGTAGACACGCCCTAAAGCACATTCATTTACAAAATTTACATAATGCTGTGCTGAAGAAGGTTTCAATTTCAAATTATAAATTTCAAAACACTTATTATCCCAATGGGGCAATTGCGAGACTCGTAGATTAGCAAAAGTTAAATAAAAAAAAATAAAAAAATAAATAAATAAATAAATACAGACATATATCAATGTTGTCACCATAATCCAGTTTGAAACTAATGGCTGAGACCATAAACTTGTTAGGAAAGTGTTGACTGGGGTAATAAATCAAGTGAGAAGTAGGGTAATTTTGTCTTTAATGCAAACAGACTTCTTTTTGCAACCAGTGGAGTCACCCCATTACAAATAATTCAGGTTTAAGGCTTTTCAGACCCAGAGGTTGCCACTTGGGTACACCTGGTTGAAACTAATGCAGTGGACAAACGTCCTGCAATAAATCCTCATTTCATAAAGGTTATTAAGCTTGTTCATTCAACTGTAGGCAATGATGATTTTTGAGGATGCAGTTTGTGGTGCTGTTGACTTGTAATGCTTTATACCGACAGGTGTTTCTATTCTTGCTGAGAGTTAGATAATAGTTAGATCGATACCACTCTCCATATCCGTAGGCTAAGGTAAATATAAACAGCCAGGAGAGGGTTAGCTTAGCAAAAGACTGGAAGGGAAAACAGCTAGACTGGCTCTAAAGATAACAAAATCCACCTTCCAGCACCTGTAAAGCTCATTAATTAACATGTTATATCTTGTTGTTTAATCTGTACAAAAAACAAAATTAAAAACGACAAGTTGTGGTTTTATGGGAGGGAAACAGTACGGACACTTACTTATATGTATTATGTATAATAATGTATTAATTAGTGAGCTTTAGAGTTGCTATTAGGCAGATTTTGTTACTTTTGGACCTTCAGCACAGTTGTTTCATCAATGTCATTATTAAAGTCACAGCAGGCCACCAGCTCAGATTTAGTCCCATATCAATGCCTGGCCTCGTGTTACCTGACATGAAAATTATCCTATATGAGTTCCACACAGTAAGATTGACACATTTTAAATGTGCGATAGCCTACATTTCAGAGAAAAATACTGTACTTTTGACTTTGATTACTTGATTACATTAATTAGCAGGAGTAGTTACTGTGTACTGTTCCAAACATGCTATCAGATTATAAAATACAACTCATTGTGACAGGTTTAACAATCCAAGTGTATGAAGTAGTTAAAATCAGCTCCAAGTCGACCAACACAACAGTAAAATGCTATTTACACATTAACACATCATTATTGATAATTCAACAATTTAATATATAATAATATAACACTCACATGAGCCATTTGTGTACAGTACTAGTACTTTTACCTTTGATGCTTTAAGTTTTTTTGTTGTAATACAGTATAATAAAATATAGACACTGAGGGGTACATTCAAGCGGTACGTGCAACAGTTCTGCAATAAATCCCATGACGGTTGCTCTAAAATGTCTGCTGTAAGTGCACTTTTTTACATTATATTATTGCAAAGGGCGAGGGCGGGTCATGCCTCGTCTTCCGGCCATTACTCAAGCTGTGCAGAGACGGATACTTTTCCTGTCCAAAATCCATCAGCACAGTGCACAAAAGTTCAGCATGCACTCCACAAGCATCACCGTGTCAGTAAACGAAGCTGTAAACAGCAGAGAAGGAAAGTGTCTCAGAGCCCTTTATCAAGACGGGTAATTAGGGAGACGTCAGAAGCACAGGTCCAGAGGTCACTTTAATCTGCAGTTTAGAGAGAATACGCTGCCCTATGGCCTCTCTTTCTTTCTGTTTCTCACACACTGCATTCTCCTCCATAGCAACACTTCCCACAAAATCACATTGATCTTCATTGATTTTTCATCCACTATTTTAACCATAAATCTTGACTTGAGATGCAATGCCATGTATATGCAATATATGCACATACACTATACTGTGCTGTATGTATGGGCTCTGCTCCATTGTTTGTGATGACTAAGCAGGGGGCCTAATTGTTTATAGACAGCAAGGCAACAAGCTTATTCTGCTCACATATGCAAAGCGGTGGCAATTAAAGACATTAAACTGTAACTAAATTTGTTTATCTTTTAAGACTAACACACATAATTTGACCAACACAACATTAGCATTAAAACACACCTTCTGAATAATCTGTTCTGCAAGTGTACGTAATGTATGATTAGCCTACATGATGGTACACTGTGTGGGAGGGTTATTTTATGATGATTCTGTGTGTGTGTGGGGGGAGGGTTGGTGGTAAATGCTAATGAGGTGATCATTTAAAAAAAAAAGTCTGTAATGATGTCGGTATCAAAAGGACAAATTTATTATATGAAGACACATTTCTGTTTAATGTACTGTAAACCTGAATTTCTCACCTCATCCTTTCCCTCGCTGTTCCCTTTTCTTACTCCATTTCTTCTAATTGCTTTTAAAAGCATTTTCTTAATTTTCCTCATCAACTACCTGCGCAACACTGTCAGATGAGCTCAAATAACCCTTATCACACACCACCCGTCATGTTCTAACTCCATTCTTTTGAATAGGAGGAAGACAATGGTGAAAACGTGAGTCAGAGTTGGAGAGAGGAGTTTGTTGTGTTGGAGTAACGTTATGAAATAAGGTCTTGCTAGCTGTTCCTCTCCCTTGTTTCCACGTTTCACGCAACATCTCGCTTCTCACGAGATTTCAGGGCAAAAATTGTCCTTGAGCGAGACTTGTGTTTCTCTTAAAAAACAAAGGATGTTACGGGGAGTCACTCGTTGGGTTCCTTTCCACGATGTTGTCAGACACCTTGTGTCATAGTCTGAACCTGTCAGTGATTCCAAAAATGTTTGTACATACTAGTCATTCTGACACCAAAATATGTGAAAATAGGGCCCAGGTTTTACAATATTGAAATGATAGACAAACATGAAAATCTCATGTGGATGTAGTGGAAAAAATTATGAAATACCACTTTAAGACTTGAATGCCATGATTAACTCCCTGCATCACCTGTTCTGCTTTTCCATCTGTGGACTAACATGCATCCCTGCTCTGTTTCATTATTGATAGGCTATATTGACCTGTTTGTCTCCCCTCGCTGATGAGAATGATTTGCCTTCCTGTTTGTCCTCGCAGAGCTGTGAGAAGAATCTAGATCCAGCTACAGACCCATTAAAACCACACGGGTCAGTCCTCAGCAATCCTGCTCAATCTTGTTGTCTTTTAGAGGAAACTCCCGTTGTTGATGTAGGATGCAGCTATTGTGAAATAAAAAACACATTACCAGTTTCCATGTGGGAACAGATGATTGGCACAAATGGGAATGTCCAACGGTGGAAAACACATTTAAGTACAAGTATATCCTACTTAAGTGGCTACAATTTCAAGGTACTTCTATAGTGTATGTTACTTTATACTTAAATGCTGCTACAGTTCACAGGGAAATACTGGACTACTAAATTTATCTGACAGCTATTATTACTATTTGTTTTGATTTGACATACAAAAAATATGATCCTCATATTTAATAATTATATTAAATATATGATGATCATATTTTTTGTACCTTTGAGATTAAGATTTTACCTAATAAAAATGTGTGTAAAGGGTTTATAAAATACAATGCATTATTAAAGTAGCTATAAATGATGGGAGAAACAGGGACTGAAGCACATTAATACTACTGTCTCTTCATCAGAGTCAAAATTAACAAAGGCATGATGCAAACAACATAAACAGTCAACCTAGTATAATTATTATAGTTATACAATTGTCACCGGATAATTGGTTGATCAAGATTTCAAATATATTGGATAATGGATCCTAGGGTGTGAGTTGCCGTAATAAATGTCCATCCATATCATACCATTTCCATCAAGTGGAACAAATTAAAGGAACCTGAAAATTTCAGTTTAGCAGAGATCTTGAGACCCTTTGGAGGGGTCTGACCCCTATGTTAGGAACCACTGAACTGAACTAGCTGTATATAACTGTATATAAAGCATTTAACAACAACTCCGTCTCAAGCAGCTACAAATGCTAGTAACACATTGATTCATCAGTGTTAACAATCTAATAATGTCATATATATTAACATACAGGCACAGGGAACATTGGATTATTTTACTTAGTACGTTTTACTGATAATACCTATGTACTTTTACATAAGTAGAATTTGACTTACTTGTAGTGGAGACTGTTAACATCCTGATACTTTTAATTAAGCAAAGCGCCTGAGTACTTTTTCCACTACTGTATAATGTCTCTGAACTCCTAAGTAGTTTCTCCGCATCCAGATGATTGCTTCAAAATAAAACTACATTATATATACAGTATTGTGAATGTTAAAAATGCAGTAATCATCCACACAATGTTGCTAAATATGTACTTGAGTTCATTTGTGAAACTTGATAATCCATAGTGACATACTTGTAATTGTAGAGGAATTTTAGACATTTGTAATCGAATTAAACAGCTTTATACATAAAATATTTCAACACCACTACAGTAAATAACAGGATGTGGTAACTTTAATTGAAAAACATTCC